AAATTTCCGATATTATTCGACCGATGTGCGAACTTCCCACGTATTAATGTTACTGAGGAATTGGTTATGGAAAAAATCCACGATTTGCCAAACAATTTGGTGTCTGGTCCCGACGGAATACCGAATATGTTCATCAGAAACTGCATTCACACATTGCTGAAACCAATAACACACATATTGCGTGAATCGTTAAATTCTGGTTATGTACCGAACACATGGAAACGCTCTTATGTAAGACCAGTGCACAAAAGTGGAGCTAAATACAAAATTGAGAACTATCGTGGAGTGGCATTACAATGCATAATACCAAAACTGTTGGACTCGATAGTGGCAAATCATTTGAATTATCACATGAGGAACATCATCGATGACAGCCAGCATGGTTTTGTCAAAGGAAGGTCAACAGTAACGAATCTGGCTGAGTTTACTTCACATACGTTAGTCAACATGCAACATGGAACTCAAACTGATGCAATATATCTCGATCTTGCTAAAGCGTTTGACTCGGTTGACTTGAACCTACTCATACACAAGCTGAAAATTATGGGATTGAATAAACAAATACTGAAATGGATGAAATCATATCTAAGTGAGCGTCAACAAATAGTAAAATTGACCGGAGCCATGTCAAATCCCATCGAAGTAACATCAGGAACAGGTCAGGGATACCCGATTGGAGCGACACTGTTTGTCCTGTTCATTATTGATCTACCCCATTGCATAGTCAACTCTAACTTGCAATCGTTTGCCGATGACACTCGTTTTTCAATGCAAATAAAGCGACATGATGACTGCTTGGCACTTCAGGCTGACTTGAATGGAGTTGTTGATTATTTCAAACGTAATCGCATGAGATTGAACGTCAAAAAAACGAATTACGTATCATATCACCGTGGTGAGCTGAAATTTGACTTCAAGTACACTATTGAAGGCAAGTCGATTGACAGAGTAAAAGTGATAAAAGATCTTGGAGTCATTTTGGATGAGAAACTAAACTTTAGCGCACACATCGAATACATAACAGCTAAAGCTAAATCTCGACTAGCGTGGATCAAGCGTTTTGGAAGAGATTTCAATGACCCGTGGACCATAAAGAAGCTCTTCTTTACGTTCGTATTGCCAATCGTTGAATATGCATCGCAAATATGGAACCCACACACCAATGAGAAAATTGCTAGAATCGAATCAGTCCAAAAGCAATTTCTACTGTTTGCACTGAGAAAGATGCAATGGCCACACAGATTCATTTTGCCACAATACAACAATCGTCTGCTATTTCTACAAATGATCACCTTGGAGGAACGAAGAAAAATAGCACGAATTTGTTTCATTCACAACGTTATTTGTGGCCAAATATCATCAAAGTATATCATGGAAAAAATCAACTTTAGAACGCCACGACATCGAACACGAAACACTGAATTTCTGTCACTGCCGATTAGAATATGCAACTACTCAATGTTTGAACCGATCAATTTCATGTTAACCACATACAATGAATTTTATAAGTATTTTGTCCCTATCAAACCGCCTAATCGATCGAATGAATGTGATACTAGTACTATTCCAATTTGTGATACCTATTTAATTGATTTTAATGTTAGTACAGATACTGTCAAACAGAGAATAACCGATTATTTTAGAAGAATTAGAACTTGGAGAAACTAAAGAAATAATGAATACATAAAATATTGTAAATATGCAACCAAATATTTATATCAAATAAACCACCTCTGGCGAAGAAACGCTGTATGGTGCAGACTAATAATAATAATAATAAAAATTGATCGAAATCACTTGTCCATAATGTGATATGTGGAAATACTTCATCGAAATACATTTTGAGCAAAATAAGTTTTAAAACACCGCGACATTGGACAAGAAACTCAGATTTCCTTTCATTACCGACGCATCAAAATTGCTATTCCAAGTTTGAACCTATCAATTATATGTTGAGTACATACAATGAATTTTATAAATACTTTGTTCCTATCAAACCGCCTAATTTACCAGATGAATTTAATATTACTACTATTCCGAATTGTGATACTTATTTAATTGATTTTAACACAAGTACAAATACTGTAAAACAGAGAGTAGCTGATTATTTTAAGAGAAATAGAATTTGGAGAGAGTTAAGTCAAATAGAATTAATTATCCCATTGCAAACATTGTAAATATAACAAGATTTATTTATGCTAAATAAACCACCTCTGGCGAAGAAACGCTGTATGGTGCAGAATAATAATAATAATAATAATAATAAAAATTTAAGAATTTCCAAATGGTAACGACCGAATGAATTCGAAATAAGTGTTTTTGATTTTTTTCCAGATATCATTCATAAACATTAAAAATCCGAGATTGTATACAATGAATTGAACGTGTCTATTGAAGAAATCAATATAATCGGCTAGTGTGGTGCAGTTATTACAAAAATGAATCGACAGCCAGCAAAAAGTATACATCAAAAACAGACCTATCGCGCGGTAGACAAATTCCCGACACGACATCTTAGCTGGTGGAGTTGGCTGAGCTGGCTGAGCTGGCAGAGCTGGCCGTCCAATTTCTTCGACGAAAACATCCTCAACTTCTTCGTTGACAAATTGTTGAAAGTGATTCCGATTCAGTATGCAGTATGTTCGGCCATTTTTACCTGAAAAAAGCAGAAAGATGAACATCACAAAGAGAGAAAGAGAGAGAGAGAGAAAGAGAGAGAGAGAGAGAGAGAATTAACTAGTGCTGATAAAAGGTGATGCAAATTGTACTCCAAAAAAAAGTATAAGTACGAGTTATTCACTCGTTTCAGAACAGAGAATTCGATGTAAAGTAAAATATGGATAAATCATACGAAACGAGCGCACCAGAAGCCGATTCCGATGGCTTGTAAACAGACCTAACCACTGACACACGATTTGGTTCACATACCTGTATAATCAATACGGAAATTTTCATTTGTCAACAGCCGCACAGTATTTCTAATTTCCATCATGAAATCATCAAAATTGTTCGGATCAACACTGATACGAAAATTTCTTGGTTTGTTTTCACTCAAAACCTTAACAGAAAGCTCGTAAAAGCGTGCCATCTTTGCTTTATGATAAAATTTGCTTTTTTTTTCTTCTCCCAACAAAAAACACTTTTCACAAATTATGTGTGACTCACAATCTAATCGAACGATTTGATATAGATGAATCAACAACCCATAATCAATGCTACGATTGCGAATTTTGGCATCGGTCGATGAAAAAAAAAGCCCAGATTTTATCGCCTAGTCGTGAATATACGTACGAAAACTGAAAACAATTTCTATTATTCTGTATATCGCGGATAGAAAGCTTCTGGAAACTCAATGTCGAATTTGTGTTGTGAAACTGAAAGCGAGTTCGAGTTGAAGTTTAGTGGTCTAGTTTGGATTAGTCAGTGGGGCCAGATGCCACAGAAATGCATAGCGGTAAAAATTATTCGGAATATATTTTTTCTAATCTGGTGTTTTTTCTACTAAAATTTATCTTTTCCATTCGATTATTTTTATTTCTTCCATCAATTTCAAAAATCAGATCATTTTTTCTATCGCATTTCCATCGTTTTAAACAGCGTGTTGAATCCATCGGATCAGTTGTGTTTGTTTTGACGTTTTCCACTGGAAAGCATTGACAGTTCGGTTAGTGTGTGACATGCCATACCCGAGGCATGCATACAAAAATACCTTCGCAGTTATTCAATCATTGTTTTTGTTTGTAACAAATTCAACAATTTTTTTTTGTCATTCTCTATCCCTCAAATCGATTGGAGAAATCACTATGTGCCATTGGAAAATGTAGTCCATTCAGTCAAATTAAAAGTTATACGAAAATTTAATCGCTAATCATATCAGAATTTAAATACAAACAAAATAAATAAAACCAAGCAATTTTAATGTGAATACAGTGTAGAAAAGATGGTTTCCAGGAGGAAGGTGTTGTTGGTGTTTTGTGCAGCTACTGGTGCCTTTTCGCTGCTTTGCGTCTGGTCCTATTTCATTCGAATGGAAAAATTCTATTGGGAAGCGAGTAAGTAATTCATCGATATTTCCAAATAAAACACATTCAGCACGATGGCAATTCGATTTGAGGCCAAATCAATTGACCTGCTCGATTGGAATTTTTTGTCTTTTAGAAACAACCGAATATGCCGCGTACGACCACGCAGAAGCAGCTGCACTCAAATCACACGAAACTAACTCATTCGATGATAATTTAATTGTAATTTACAATCGTGTCCCGAAAACGGGCTCCACTAGTTTCATTAATTTAGCTTATGATTTGTGCAAGAAAAATCACTTCTATGTACTGCACATTAACATCACCGCCAATATGCATGTCTTATCACTCAATAACCAAGTAAGCAGAATTGTTTCATCTTCAATGTTGTCTTTCGATGTGTCTCTGGGTATTGATAAATATATTGATACGAAAAATATTTGCATTTTACACTTTTAGCTTAGCTTTGCGCGTAACATAAGCGCTTGGAGTGAAATGAAACCAGCGCTGTATCACGGCCATATGGCTTATCTGGACTTTTCAAAGTAAGTATTTATTTGTAGATTCAACGAGCAAACAGTGAATGGTTCAAGTGTTCAGCGGAAATGTTCGAACCCAAGTGATAAAGTCGATATTCATTTTGGTTTTACGAGGGAAATCTGGCAAAGAAAAAATTTTGGTCGAAAAATTTTCAATCAGCGTGTTCAAACAAATTCTCTTTCTTTCTGTACTTTGGATGTAGTACAGAGCTCAACGGATTTTCCGCTTCTACGATTTCAAAATATTTGCCAAGCAAATCGGTTTCAATTTCTATGCAACAGCAATTGAAATCGCATTTCTGCTCTCCGTATGTGACTGAACTCAAGTTCAACATGCCCATTATGTTGTACATTGTCGCATTTTGTTTACTTGTTTACAATGCAAAAAGTAAATAAACATCCATCCATCTGACCATTGTACTGTACAGCATCATTAGACAACTGAAAGTAATGAGATAAACTGTGAACACACTCACTAATCTCAAATATGGTTCGAAAGCGGATTCAAGATACTATTCTCAAAACAACCTATTGTTTTCGTCTCCTGGATAAGTTCATATATCATGTATTCTTAATGTGCAATTAAATTGAAGGCAAAAGCAACGACAAAATACATGCATTTGAATTTAATTGGTTTTTAAAAAGTATTTCACCAGAAACCCACAGGCCATTTTATCGCATAACATCTGAAACGTGACAATAAGCAATTGTAGAATCTTCAGCGTCATGACAAAAATTTCCGAGAATTGAATGCGACTCTTCATAGTATGCGATGAGTGAATCATAGAAGAACTCGCAAGCGACCTTTGTATCCATATGAATAAATATATTCAAATTAATGATCTATTGTTTTCGTCTGCGGTGATTAACTTTTTTAAGCTTTGCTTTCATTGAAAGTTTTTAATTCCTTTTTTTTATTTCATTTTTCATTTAAATTTTGAAATATTTCTTGCAAATAATAATGATGATGCATATTTCTGTCTCTTCTACATTTTTATCTTTTTGATTGATTCAA